CTAATTAATTTATACACTGCTTTCTCTCATTCATAGTGAGTTTGTGATGTTTTGGTAAAACATAAGAAGGTAGCAGCAACCAGATCATCACCCATTTATTACAAAAACGCAAAATATTAGTAGATTGAAACTAAAAAACAGAAATTCTTAATAGAAAGCAATAATTTAGAAAAAAATATTCATTGCTAACAAGTCCACAATCACTAAAAAGCATTGAAGAGCAAGAGTGGTTATGTTGTGGGTAATTGTGTTATTGCATTCTTAATTAAATTTACAATTGTAACACTGAAGTCACCCTCTTACGTCGGAACCACCTGCGGTTCAAGCGGCGGAGGAGCTCCTTCATCCACCACAGGGTCAACCGTCGTGGTGGTTGGCTCCTTCTCACTCTCCTCAAACCCGGACTTGAACCTGTCGTAATTGGTCACCTCCCCCGACTTAAACGGACGTTCACCCAAAACTTTCAAAAGATCATCTTGATGCAGAACTTCTTTCTCCAGCAAAAGCTCGGCGATCTGAGCCACTTGCTCTTTGTGTTCCTCGATTAGCTCAACGGTCTTCTCATAAGCTTTGCTCACCCATTCCCTAACCTCCTGGTCTATGATTGCACCGGTTTTATTGCTGTACGGTTTAGAGAAGTCGTAGCCATCATCCCTTGGGGGAAACGAGAGCAGCCCAACCTTGTCACTGAAACCGTACACAGCTACTTGGGCGTACGTCATCTTTGTCACCTTCTCCAGGTCATTCTGTGCTCCAGTCGAGATTCTTCCTATCAGTACCTGCGTTGAAAAAGACCAGAAACATAAAACATTCTTTGAGCCATTTTAAAATTCAGTAATGAAAAATCTTGCCCCATTTCGTTCTTATTTAAAATTCAGGACCCGTATAGGAGGGGAAATTCATGTTATCCAAATTAATGAAATCTCAAACTAGCGACTAGGGGATTTACCTGCTCAGCTGCACGGCCACCAAGGGTCATGCAAGTCATGTCAAAGAGTTGTTCTTTGGTCATGAGAAGGTTTTCATTTGGAACGTATTGTGCAAACCCGAGCGCCGCTGTGCCGCGTGGCACAATAGTCACCTTCAGCAATGGCTCTGCGTGTTCCAGGAACCACCCAGCAACAGCATGCCCAGATTCATGATATGCAACCGTTCGACGCTCCAATTTGCTTATCACCTGTTCATAATTTTAACATTCGGAATTCCATTTCTCAAGGTTTTTACGAAAAGCAAGACCAAATTGCTACTTCTGACTTTCTATTTTAAAATCAGTGTTTATGATTATTTATCCATTTGAACAACTAAGGGATCCCAAATATCTAATCCGCAAACCAAATCAAAGAGAAAGTAAACACATTCCAATTTTTTTTCCCATACTACAAACCGCAAAACGAATCAAAAAGAAAATAAACCGATTATAAATTTCTATGAAAATCTTAAAAATGTCTTCTTAAAAAACCGAGTCCAAACCAAACCATTTTCATTTGGATTTACGAATATTTATAATAGACCAAAAATGAAAACCAAAACTGAACGAAAACTAGATTGAGCACCCCTACTCTATGGCTAATTATAAACAGTTTATAATTTTAAAAATTGGCAAAAGTAGTTGAAAAGACAAATGCATATTACCCGATTTTTCTTCTCAAGACCACCAATAACACGATCAATTGCAGATTCAAAGTGTGCCATTGTAACCGTTGCTCCTTCATGTCTAGCAGCAATAAGAGCCGCTTCATTACAGACATTTGCAATGTCAGCTCCAGCAAACCCGGGAGTGAGAGCCGCAAGCCTCTGAGAATAATATGATGGCTCGTGATCGAGTTTGATCTTCTTCAAGTAAATCTGGAAAATCTGATCACGGCCTTTTATATCAGGTTTATCAATGGTAATCTGACGGTCAAACCGTCCAGGCCGTAGCAAAGCTTTATCTAGAATATCCGGTCTGTTGGTCCCAGCAAGAACCACAACTCCAGCAGTTGTACCAAAACCATCCATTTCAACTAGCAATTGATTCAGAGTGCTTTCACGCTCATCATTACCACCTAAACCTCCACGTCCTCTTGCCCGCCCAATCGCATCGATCTCATCAATAAATATAATGCTCGGTGCTGCTTGTCTAGCCTCTTGGAACAAATGTCTCACCCTTGACGGTCCAACACCAACAAACATCTCCATGAAATCTGAACCGGATATCGACAGAAACGGCACACCCGATTCCCCTGCGGTAGCTTTTGCTAAAAGGGTCTTTCCTGTTCCAGGCGGACCGACTAAAAGTGCACCTTTCGGAATATGAGCACCCAAATCTTCATACTTCTTTGGGTTCTTCAGGAAATGCACAAATTCCATAATTTCTTGTTTAGCCTCCTCACATCCAGCAACATCCTTAAAATAAATCTGGC